ATTCATTATGTCTATGAGAGTTTTATTGTCACTTTCGATTTCCTTAGAGAGCAAATTCTTGCTGCGAAAGCAGATGAAACCGTCAAAGAAGCGCCCAATCAAATTCAGCTTTGGAAGGAAGTTGTGTTACCATAGTATAATTGTGAAAAGCCAGGATTAGTCTGACACAACGATCTCTAATCACTCCACCCTTAAATAGATATTATGGAAATTTTAAAGGCATGAGGGGGGGGGGGGCATGGCTCTCCTCCGCCACCCCTGACTTGGACCAGGGTTACCTCGGCAGGCACCTATCAGTTATTTGATCTTGTACAGTAGAAAGGAGGATACTACGTGATCCTTCAAATGAAAGATTAATTAATCAGTGTCGTCGTCGTCGTCCTCCTCTATAGCTGACTGGGAGAAGGATTATTTAGCTAATTAAGACTTAATTACTGGCTTGCAAAATTTAAAATGAAGTACCGTCTTTCCTTCTTTTCTATTATGTGTCCTCCACTTTCAAATTGTAACCGGATCGTTCTCGGCCGGCTTAGCCAAATCACACGCGCTGACGCGCACGCACCTCAAATTCAAAAATAATTGAAATTAATGCAACAATTAACTTAATTTATTAAATCCACTCAAATTGAGCCAAATGGAGCCCCACTAGATAATGTGTTGGTGCCTGGTGGTCTCCCAAGTCCCAAACTTTAGTAGACTATCTCTTCCTTCTAAATTAATACAACTTAAAAAATAGCATCTCTTTACCAGCAAACTGCAAAGTAGTTGCACGAATATAATTACTTTTTTGTTGTGCACTGAAGTTGAAAGGGACCATTAATGGGACCATTGCACCTTTGCAACCCCAACTTATTGACCCAATCCAAATGCCCATCAGCAGTCAGCAAAGTATCTGTTCAAGAGATTGTGGACATTTGAACGAATGCCTTAATCGAAATACGATTTTTCTATTGAAAAACTTTTAGTTGAACCTTTGCCAAATGGAGGATGACCAAGGATGACCAAATTCGTTGCTTGTCACACGCAAGGCAACGATAAGTACGTGGACGGCCTGTTGAGCTAGTGATGCAAGCAAATGTGTGGTAATAAAGCTTACGATCGTACAAGTAATACATAATGAAATATAATAAGATTGAAGTTTTATTATATAAATCACGGTTATTAAAATTATTGTTATGGCCTTTTCCTGCTGTTGGTATGTTATATCATGCGAGTCTGATTTTTGGTTAAACGTTATTATGTGGATACATCAATTTGATGTTCAGCAAACCCACTGAAAAGATTATTTCTTTGTCCTTCCTATTTGGCTCTTCATACTCGTCCTTTTGTTTGCTTTATTTCATTTTGGCTTTTTTGGATGATAATCCAATTAAAATTAATTAGCAAGATTGATATGATATGATATGATATGATATGATATGATATACAGCAATAGGGCCAATTAAATATTGCTCCAAAAACGTTTCTGTTTGATTTCACAGCATGGGTCATGTTATGGATGACCATGGGCTAGGTCCGGATGAGCCCACGCTAGGTTATTGTATGGTTATTACAAGAGCATTTTGAGCTGTCTAGCCTGGCCCTGCCAGCCTGCATCCCAAGCCTAATATATATATGCTGGGCATCCACACTTGATTGTACATGCTAATGAAATTAAATTGTTTAAATCAAGAATTTAAATAAAGTTTCATTATACATATATATACGAGTGAAGCGATATTTTTGTAGAAAATTTTGGTAACATACATTTTCTAAACACCACAACCATGGTTTTAATAATTGGACCGGACTAGATGGTCAGACCATTTGGCTGATAATCAGTCATGTCTCTGGATCCAGTTTTCGGCCCAAAAACCGTTTAACCGGAATTCAAATGAATGGTCAAATTGTTTGACCCAAAAACCAGTGGCCAAAGCGTTTTGGCCACTTTTGTCTGGTGGGGGCATAAATCATTGCCTTAAATTTGTTTCTGTTCATGGGCTCCAATCCACCTTTTGTCTCGTTATGTTGCTTTGGTGGAATCCGGGGCCGGATTATTTGTTGGAAGTTGTGAGGGAATTTCACCGTACCATGTGAAACTGGTATCACCAATTCAGTCGAGGCATCACATTACAGTAACACAAGCTACCGGAAATTCATGCCAATACAAGACAAATATGACACTGAATGAAAGATTCTACCAAAGGGTTCCTGTTGCAACTGATGCCCCTCCTAAATTCTCTTTGCACCAATATGAATTCCTGTAAGTTAGTTTTATGACTAATACTGGTTTTTGATGACTGCTGGCGCCTAAGTAAAATAAGTAAATGGTCATCAGTTACTGAAATGCTGAACATGACATTTAAAAGTAGGTTACTTTGATGCCGTAATGCCGGAAAGACATAATACCTGAAGAGTTTTTTTGACAATCAACACTCCCAAATGAATATTGTATCATTGATACATACCACCTATATGGTCACTACTTTTATGATATGGATTCGTTGGTTGTAAGTTTTTTTTGGTATCATGTTTGAACCCTAAAGATGGAATCCTTTTCTATCCCACTACTTCTAACACCCATTTCAACAATTACCAAACATCTCACATCTCAACTTACTTAAAAAAAGCAAAATTCACTTGTAAGTAGACTTTTGTTAGCACATCTAATGGGACAAGGCTTAAATTATAATAACGATGATGAAAAAACTTTTAGGGTTCTGGTTTTTAACATAGTGGAAAAATTTGTTATATAGATGATCTTCTAGATTAGTCAGGCATTAATATCCCATCCCATCAAGTTATGTTGAAGGATTTGTGGTGGAACTGTCTATTGGATTGAAGACCCTCTATATCACGAGTTTGGATCTGTGCCCCACAACGTTCCAACATCTCTAGATGATGATATCATCATTTCTGGTATTATCATCGGGAGATATTCCTAATACAAAATTTATGCATTACAAATAATAAAAAATAAAATAAAGTTATTAATCAAATTAACATTTATTTAAATTCAACTCAAAAATATCTTTCTACTTCAGAAACTGATCTAATATAAAAGTTCCTTTGCCCCTCTCTCTCTTGACAAAACCGACGCATGGCACAGGTCCTGACCAGTAAGGCATAAAACCCACCGACTCCCCGCATACTGAGATGCATTTTTTTCCCAAGTGATACCTGTCAAGGTTGAGGGATTCATTGTCAAACTGTCCATTTGATGGATGATGACCCTCTACATCATCTAGGTTAGTGTTCAATTTCCTAATTTATCTTTACTATATTATGTTGATATTTGCCTTGGCTTGACATGAAGACCATCGTACCAAGAATCTAATCCATTGTTTTTCTTCCATCTTGCAGGTGTCATTTAATTAGTATATATGAAATGAAATGCCTAATGCCAATTGCATATTGACATTTCCCCTAAAGTAATATCTCCCATCCCAACTTTCAGTTTTCTTTTGAAGTTTGCCCTGTGAAAAAAGGACTTTGGATCTCCTAAAAAAAATAAAAAAATAAAATCTTGCATTCAATGTGCAATAATAGTCCTCTATACACGTGTACACCTGTCATAGACGGCATGAAAGTGTAGGAGATCCAGATCCATAAAAAGAGAGGCTTGTCTTCAACAGTTTGGATAGGTTTTGGGACTGAAATTGACTCCATTAACAGAAGGTGGTGAGAGGCATGCCCTTAATAGTTGGGGCACTTTCAGCCCCAACCATGTTGCAGGAGTTGAAGCTTCCTGGTCCTGGGCCATAAACAAGTTGCCATCCTAGCTAATCCGTCGTCCCTTATAGAGATATAAACGCGTGTACGCTTGTTTCTTTCTGGGGCAAAATCCATACAATACAACTCATCAAAACATAACAACCAACATATAATCTATAGAGGGGAAGACGGTAAGAACTTTGGACGGCTAGAAGTGGCTACTTCATATAATGAGCCCACTCTATTTGATGATGATATTTGATATGAGGAAATGTATATAATAATGTGGTTGTGGCCCAAATTGGTGATGAAGTCCCAATCGCCAAGCTTCATTAATTATTAACTTCCAACATAACTGATTACATGTATGATTCTACCTGCAGCTTTCTCACGGTCGAATGAACAATTAATCAAATTAATCTCCATATAGATATAATTGCCCATAATTCTGCTTACTCGGAATTACCACAGTTCTTTTAGCAATTAACACCTCCTCTATTAGACTATATATGACTATCCCCTTTCAAATATCATGATAAATATTCTTCATCAATCAATTACTTTGCTTGCTGACAGTTGATTTTCTGTTCGTATTCCGTAGTACTGAAAGGGAAAAAAAGAGGAAAACATGACCATTAATTAAATTGCAGTAGGCTCTCTGATAGTGATATAACAAGCGTGTGCGTGACCCACATGCCATAAAGGGAAGCAGGAGGGTGTTTGCGTGTTTCATTAACGTGCAGAGCAATTACCCCCCCCCCCCCCCACACGGTGGGATTAGTGAGTGAGCGAGCGGCTGCACTAAACATTATTCGTGCTTGTGTGCTGCATCGCTGCACTAAACAAGTATACGTATATTACGTTACGTTACGTTACGTTACGGAGACCGGGAGACGGGAGATGTCCGATTTCAAGTCCCACATGTGAAGACGACTGAACTGCCAACCGAACACGGTGCTAAAACGACATGGGTTGGTCAATGGCCGAGTTCGCATCTGCCCTCGACAGAATGCACCCCACATTCACATCTCAGCGTGCTTTGAGAACATTTCAATGGCCTATTTTCTTTGTCATATATAAAATTAAATATTTTAATAACTTTTCACATTTTTTCGAACAAAAAAAAAAAAGAGAATGGACGACTGAGTGAGTCCTGAGAGGCAGAGCCCAGGGGCCTGTAACTATGTTCTGTTTTGGGGCTTGCTGAGCTACACTCGACCAAACATAAAATCGCGGGCAGCATTTACGGGCAGTTCGGGTAAAGCAGCGTATGCGCGCAGTATATAGTATGCACACACAGTCGCTTTCTCCCTCACGCACACCTATTATAACGGCGGCTCCGCTCCGAACTTGTGCTTTATAATCGAAAGTTCGGAATGGAGATTAAAATAGAGGAGAGAGAAACGAAACATAAAATAGATAAAAAGGGGTAAAAGAAAAAAAAAAAAAAAGAGAAAGGAAGAAAAAAATAGTAACACAGACTCAACACGCACTCTGTTTCTAAAATCCTTTTTCTTCGTTTGCTCTGCCGCCATTACTATGAATACCCTTCCTCCAATTTTTGGGGTTTTAGGGTTTTCAGAGCGGTTTTAAGGTTTTAGGTTTTATATAAGCTGGATTCTCTATCTTTCTTGCGAAGAATATCATTCATGCGTCGTTGGTTTAGCGGTTTTGTTGATTAGGTCTAGTTTCTGGACGAGTACTCAGCTCTGCTCTGCTCCGCAAGTGTGGAAGAAAAGGTTTTGGTTTTGGATTTTATTATTCTTTATTGCTTGTTTATGATATTTGAAATATAATTGTAACGATGCGATTGAGGCAAGGTTGATTTTTTATGGGATTTGAATGGCATTGGAAGATCTGATGGCATCTCGATTTTCACAATCTTCGGTATCGGTTTCGAATCACTTGGACGAGTTTTCAAGTCGTGAAGATGGGGATTTTATTGGGCAAAGAAGAGATTTAGAGGCTGCTGCTAGTAGCAGCAGCAATGCGGCTGGGATGACAACGACAAGTATGGCGTATTTGCCACATACTGTTGTATTGTGTGAGCTTCGACATGAAGCATTTGAAGATTGCCTTCCATCGGGCCCATCTGAGAATGGGTTGGTCTCCAAGTGGCGACCTAAGGACCGGGTGAGCTATCGTTTCTTCACTTTCTCTTCTGTTTGCGTTTGAATTTTATTATCCTATACGCTCGTCGGTGACATTGTTAATTTGGTGCATTTTTGAACCAATAAACTTGATTTACCAACCTATTACTGTGTCTCTGTCAATAATTGGTGCTTCTATCGACTATTAGAGTTGGTGTTTATTATTGCGATTGGGCATGAATAACAGCTAGGTGGAGTGACACCATCTTCGTTGGAGAATATAGAACACATCAAAAGATGGAATAACTTATTTTGATTAAACTTATTAGGGAAATGCCGCATTCTCAATTGATCTTTCCTTTTTTTGTTATATTTCCTACTCATAGCTCGCCATAGTAGTCCATAAGATGAATCCTGTAGGATTTGGACTTTGGGTGATGGCTTGTAGCTGTCTAAGGTATGGATATTTCCTTTGGATGTTTGACATTTTGTAGTTGGTGCACTTTAAGCTTTTTGTTATTGAGGAAGCTTATTAATTCCCCAACCGGAAGAAAAAGGTGCTGCTAGGACAGGGTGGCAGGTGCTCAAGAAAGATGTTATCTAGGAGCGGTTGTTCTTGTCATTTGTTTCTGTAGTGCGACTCCCAGTTTGTGGTGCAAATCCCTGTGCAATTTCTTGTGCGATTCCCACAGCCCAAGTTGAATTACAGGGCGAGCCCTGTTTGAACACCAAAATCACAGCTCCCAAACAATGAACCACGTAATCGCAACCCAGGAACCCATGTTTGTTAGGCTCAAAAATGTCAAGGAAATTAAGTATAAATGAATGCAATAGGAGAAAGAAGAAGAACAATAACAGGGAAACAAGTGCACAGAGATTTACATGGTTTGGCTTAGCCTACATCCATTACACTCCATGCTCTCTCTCTCTTTCTCTCTTTTGCTTCTATGGCCTTTGGAAAGAGAGAGATTGTGGCATGAGGTGGTGGGAAGCATTCATGGGAGGTCAGAGAATGGATGGGATGTTGGTGTATCGAGGCAAGCTAACCTAGCAGCACCTTGGAAGGCTATTCACAACACCCTTCCTCAATTCCTCAATTTTATCAGGTATGAAGTTTG